CAATACTGTTAGTAGTAATAATGATAATAATACCAGTTCAACATTGAAGTGCCCTACTATTAAATGTTTAACAAAAATTCTTGATAACTGATAAAAAATCATCCTATTTACAAATGCAAATTTTAACAGTATTTTAATTCTATATGTGATACACTATTTACCTATATAGTATAGATGATCCCTTTATGTCTACTATTATACATATGTAAGTGTCAACTAAGAATGTGTTACTGTATAAAATAAGAGACTGGCCACACAATATGTTACAATAATTCGTTTGTGTATTCGTTACTGTCAATCGATCCTTTCGATAGATTTTTCTAACAATATTGCTTGCCTTCGATCAGTTGCGGCTTCATCGATTTATATGAAATTCTAACATTACATTCTATTTGACAATGATTACTATAAAATCTAATGTTATGGAAGAAATTACATGTACTTAACAAGCATGAGAAAATCTTGTTGATTATAGTTATTGGAAGCTACAATAATTTTTAGTATATAATATATTATGTCGTCAATGTTCAATATGCCAAATACTTGTGTTACCTATATATTAAATGTTTATGAAAATCGACTCAATTGAAGTAGTCTTATACACGTATAGATGTGGATATTTATATACGAACTCAATGTACATACAATAACAAATGGTATCGTTTGAATTAAACTGATTCAAGCTGTTCAAAATGGTGCATAATAAAACACTATTTTTATTGATGAAAATATTATTATAATACCTGTGCTATATTTGCAAAGTTCAGTGCATAATGTCACAAAAATGTTGGAAGCAATTTATAAAACGAATTATCTTATAAAACAGTCATTTACGAATTTAAGTTTATGTAATATAATATATGTTACACAAAAAATCGTGTAGCTAAATAGAAATTACTAATAAAATAAGACTTCGATAGAATTGTTTCTCTATTAAATAGATTCTAATATACACACAATTTTTGGTCAGTTCGAGGGAAGTAACATCGATCCAATCACATAAATGATCGTGATTTAACGAGAATTATTTTTGTTTCGTTTCTGTTTGTGTAAAATTTATTTCAGTAGCATATGAGATTTTTGGTACTGGTAACTGTACATTAGATAGTGGTCATTGCATCGCATTGTTGATTGTTTCCTCATTTCATGACATTGTTGTTTCGTAAATATGCCACAGGTAATAAAGCAAATGTCAAAAGAAATATGTAAACTATAAAAGGTCTTAGATCAATAAACGTCTCTCTAGTCATGTTTGTGATAATATTGTTTCTCTTCAACGATAATATACACTTTTCCCAATTTCTTCTTCGTTAGTTGATTACGATACTTGGAACTTTGTTTTTACGTAGACGCGATGAAGATCAAATGCAGATATGTCGTCGAACGTAAGTAAAAGAATGATATACATTTTAATAATTTTATTCTCGTTATTATCTAATTTTTTCAATTTCAGTACATCGATATTTCAAATATAGTTTTAACAACTTACACGTATATTGTATTACAAGTGTTGACGCTTTACAAATAAGAATATACTGAAACGATTATGGTTTGTTTTTCGAAAAAATATAGCTGAAGTCATAATAGTTGGCTGTGTAACTGTACTCCTGTGTTGCTAATCTTAAATAATAGGAGTAGGATCGGCAGCTATTATCGCTCGAGATATATTCTTTCGAAGAACAGATAATAATTAATTATACCTAGCAACACTAATTTCTCCAGATCGTGTTACTAACTGTATCATTCGTATTACACTGTACATGATATATGTATGTACAATAACAATATTAGCCTTTGTAGTCAAAGTAATCTATTTCTGGTTCTGGCTCTGGCATTTTTGTATTCGACTGCATCTCCATTTTTTGGTTCTTTTTTGTGGGCAGTGATAATATCGTTCTAACAGAGAAAAGAAAACATTAATAAAATCAATATAACATCAACGAACTTACTTATTTATTTCTCTGAAATACTTACTTTACAGATCCATCGGATCTTGAAGTATTCAACATTGGACCAGGAACTTTTCTTTGACCGTTTTCTCGTTGCACGATTTCCAATAAACTGTAGCTTGGTAACCAACACTACAACGAATTGATTAAAATAACATCATTATATTATCATTACAAAAAGAAAAAGAAAGAAAGAAAGAAAAGGCATTACCTTATCTTTTACAGCAGTAGCAACAACATTTCTTTTAGGCTCCTGATCATATGCTTGACTTTCACAACCAAAATGCTCGCAGGACTCGTGAATGAAATGACGTCTATCTTTATTCATACTATCAAACGAATAGCTACGGGATTTCTGTTTCGAAGTTTTTGCTAAGTGAACCAATTCGGTTAACTTTTCATGAACCATTTGACAAAAGAGTGGATCTTTCTTAGCCCATTGTTTCATAAAATCACTGTATCGTGGCATTAATTTTCCACTCAAATCTGGGTTTACTATTTGCAAACCTAATGCTAATCTACGATTTCGTTCTATCAATCTACATTCGTCGTTACATTCTAATGTTTTCAATTGATTCTGTTTTTTCGCTCCCTGACCAAAAACCTCTTCCAAATCAACCGAATGACCTAGCTGCATATCAGCCATTTTACTAGCCAATATGTTACTCGCTATTCTTTGATATTCTTTCGAATTATCTGCACAAGCACGAGAAGTAGTTCTATGTCCGCATTGGCATGTTACCTACGTAGAATAGTATTTGTTGTTTAAAAAGAAAACAATTACGTACTCGACTATATGTACATGTATAATATGTCAAGTGCACATGTGTGTACATGTCTGCAATTTATTACCTTCACCATTTCTTTGCACGGCGTATCTAGACATTTACCATCGTGGCATGGAGCGGCACAAATGTGTCCACACATTTCTCTTGGAATGGTACACGGTTGAGAACACTGTTGTCTAGGTTTCTCGCACGGCCCAGGATGGCAAATAGCGAGACATTTGTGTCGACCGCAAGAAATAGGCTTATTACATGGTAAACCGCATGAAATTTCATTAACGTAACACGGTACAGCTTTACGTAGCTCGTGTTTGCCGTGACACCACCTTTGAGTAAGAACAGTGCACAGAGGACATGTAGGCTCGTTATGACAATTGTGAAACACTTCGTGTCCGCAGGAATGCTGACGAGAACAAGGCCTGTCGCAAACAGGTCTCCTGGTACCGCAGGGAACTGGAGGATATATCACAGCAGCTCCACACTCGCAATACAATTCATCGAAGCTACTACGCCAACAAGGTTGACACCTTCCTGCATTAGCAACATAATATTTCCTATGTTAATTACTAAGATGCGGACTTTATGCAGTCGTGACAAAAATGAGTATTTATAATTTGAAGCAGCAGAAAACATCCGCAATCTAGTTGTTGCATACAATCAAAAAGTTTTAAAACAACAATTATAAATTTGCTAATCGTTATAAGTCTTGCCATATTAAAATTTCATTTGCGCACTCTTATCACGAGTAGGATGCAATACAATACCTTTATGACAAGTTTGTTCACATTTGTGTTTACCACAGCTCAAAGTTTTAGAACACATTAACGGACAAACATGTTCTACTTCTATGCAGCACAACTGATTGCATTTATGCTTGCCACAAGATCTTTTTTTTGTACATCTTTTTTCACATCGAGCATCGTCAGCTTTCGATATTAAATCTTTACAAGCTACTTCTCTATCCATGTTTCCGCAACGACATTTAACGTCTGTAGTTAAATCACAAACAGGACAATCTCCTTTATGACATTTTGCTTTGCATACATGAGGATTGTCTAAGGAAAATTTATGTCTTCATGAAATACGATATCTGTCGTTCGACCGGTCAATATCTGGTTTTGAAATACTTACTCGGTTGACCACATTTTAGATTTTTCGAGCATACTTTGTCGCAAATCGGAATTGGATCTAAACAAGTTTGTCTTTTGTCTGTCAGCAGTGTTTGTCCACAGCAACAGGTTGTCACTTTCTCCGGGGTCAGACTACATGGCTCGCAAGCATCTGGATGACATAGCTTTGTGCACGTGTGATTACCGCAGTCTAATAATTTACCGCAAACACTTTCGCAAGAGTATGTAAGCGAAATATTACTTTGACAAATAATTGTTCTTTTGTCTTTACCACAATAACATTCTGAAATTAAATTTATATTGATTCTACGCTTGTCATAGTAATACATACATTAACACGTTCACGCCGGTGTTCAGCGGTGGCTTACGCTTGAATATTCTATCGGACCGCGTGTACCACCAGTGGCTCACACTCAAATACCTCATTGGACGTACCGTGTGTACCACCAGTAGATCACGGTCTTTCTCATCGGACAACGAAACCACCACCAAATATGTATTTGAGTATCGCTATGGTGCGCGTAATCATGAGTATGTTGAAAATGTTTATTCGAGTCAGCCGCCCCATACCGAGAAACTCAAATAGTAGCACCGTCGTGGACGTGTTAAAGTTAGCAAAGTCACAAAATTGTTATTACACTTAAATTTTGTACCTTGTTCAACTGTCTTCTCACAATTTGGACATTCGCCGTGATGGCACTTTCTTCCGCATTTATGCGTACCACAACTTAAATCCTTATCGCATGTAGCATCGCACGACAATAACTTGTGCGAGCTACATTGTACCGTTTGCGATGTTTTACCACAGCCACAGTACCTTGTTACCATTGCTATGCATTGTGGACAAGATCCAGGATGACAGAGAAGGGTACATTTGTGAGGACAAGTATTTTTTGATAATGTCCTACCGCAAACTTCTCCGCAAGAATGTGCAATATCTCTACGATTCCATTCCGGGGCTCTTGTCTTACCACAGAAGCAGAAATACTCGTCAGGTATTGTTATACTTACGTTTTGACATGCTGGACATCTCCAACCATTCTCTACAAAAAATTTGGATACTTATGGTCCAACGAATACAATATCGATTTGTTGCTTATCGCATAAACCACTTACCCGCTTGCGAAGATTTTGCCCACTTTTTGACACATTTCAGATGTAAAACATGATAGCAATTAGAACACGACCAAATATAATCGTTCTGCCTAATACACTCGCAACACACTAAACATTCTAATTGTCCTCTGTTCAATTGATCGGTCAATCTTTCTTTTTGACTCGCATCATCGTCTAAATCGGAAAATATTGGAATATATTCTACAGAAGTCTAATTTGTTTCAGTTAAGTTCTATACGTACCAAGTAGAGGTCTTCTATTTTGTATTCGTTTTTGAAAACAGCCCTTTTCAGTAATTTCTGCTTTATTTCTCCAATTTTCATTTCCCTTTTCTTTATTATCAAATATATTATTTTTATTTCTATCCCTTTCTTTGAATGTCTCAGTTTTATCACCTTTTCTGTGTTCTTTCAATCCATTACGTCCTTGATAACTATATCCTTTTTCTTTTGTTTCCTTTATTCCAATTTTATTAGTTTCCTCGCTAATATCTTGATTAGTGTCGTTAGGATCTTTGTAAATGCATATTTGTCCGTTCCTATCCAGATGCTTATCTTCTGAACTACAAACTTGCCAAGTTTCGTTCTGCCCTTGATAATTATGTCTTCTTTCTCTATAACCGTATTCCTCCCTACTATGTCTAGCATTATATGGATATTTCCTTATGTTCTTATGGTACGCGTTCAATTGTTTCGATCCTATATTAGCGTACATAAATTCTTTGTCCTCATTATTAGATTGTTTAATGCCATTCGACTGCGCATTATTGTCTTTGGTAGTAGCGTTCCTTTTATTTCTGTTTTCAATTGGTAATTTTTTATTTTTATGCAGATTCGTATCTATACTGGAACATGGTTCTTCCTTGTCTAAATTTGGTGTATCTTGTATGTTCGTTTGCAATTTGTCAGAGTAATGCTTATTAGTATAATATTTATTACCTTGAAACTTGTAAGAACTTCTGCCTCTCTGATGATAAGAGTTGGTATATCTATTTCTTTTATAAGATTGATCTTGTTGTCCTTCTTTGATCTTGTAATTCCTTTTGTTTTCATATTGTTTCTGCTCATATTTATTTGCATCGTCAACAGAATGTTTGTTAATCATTATTTCTTCTTCCGTAAGCTTCGTATCTTTGGTATAAGAATCGATACGGTTGATAGAACAAGGAACTCCCATATTTTGGGATTCAAATTTTTTATTGGCAGATTTGGCATTTAGATTTGGCACAAACTCTCGAGCTGTGGCATGTAAGTTTGAGTCTCTTGTCACGGTAGTTGCAACTTGTTTCATATCTTCTGCGTAACTCTGTTTAATCTTAGGTACATTCGCATCATAATCGTTTCTCCAATAATCAGCGGTGGGTACAAAGTAATTTTGTGGCGTAACATTTTTTGGTAAATGTTGTACATTAGTTGGTGTCTGCGTGTTATCGATGGTATTTCTTAAATCTTCCTGATAACTATTACCACTCGACACAATGTTGGACATCACATTTGTATTTGTATGATACAAAGTTGTTGGACAATTTTGATGGAACACAGAATCATTTTGTACATAAAATTCACGATTTTCTCGTGTATAATCGTTACTCACATTGTTAGGAAAAAACGTCCAGCTTCCAGTTGTAGAAGCGGCAACATTTTGATCGGAGTATAAATAATAATGTTGATCGTCCGGCTCAGAATACGAACCATCCCACGTAGCCATAATCTTCACACGATTTCACACGTGTCTGTAAGAATAACTTTCGCTGTATATACGAGAGTAATAAATAAAAAATAATTTTGCTTGTTGCTTTCGTATCGTTTATTATACTGACGAATAATTATATTCCAACTATGGTTAAGTTATTTCTTGTCGAATCTTTCAAAAAATCGTACTTCTTACACTTGAAGATTCCGACCACTTGACAATTTTACGAAGATTAGCAAAAACGATTGTAATGGTATGTACAATAGTATTGCACAATGAGCACACAAGAATCATGGAGACCTTTCAATCAACGTGTACGTAAAGGGAAAAAGAGAAAATGTATCCGCGTTAAAACGAGTCTGTTCACACTAGTGTTTCGAACGATTTTGAATGTGTTGAACGATATTAAAATCAAACGATAATATTTGATCAAAATCGTATACATTCGAACAATTAGAAAATTGGATCGTAATAAAAATACAAAAATCGTGTTGGAAACAAAATTTTGTAATATATCTTAAACAAAATATAATGTTGAAGACTGATCAAAATCACAAGAGAGAACTTTAAAATCTCGGATCATACATATATACATACATGACAATCTTTGCTGTACATATGTATGTATTATATATTACAGGCGTTTTTACAATAGAGGAATTCTTTTCAAAATCTTCAATATTCGTTGTGCGTGACCCCGAAATTTTGGACCTACCTACGCATAAACAGTGTCTATGTGTATCGTTTTTGTCAGTTTTTGTAAGTTGATTTCTCTGTCCTTCGCGATGGGCCCTCTAGAAGAAAGAAGACGAAGAGACTGTGTGCTAGAAATTGGAAACGTTGGAAAGCGCGGCGATATTTGAACTTTAATATGGTAGCGAAAACGGTACTCAACAAATATATGTATGTATGTATGCGTGTGTGCACTTACGTACACAATTTTATTAATTGCACATTGCTCAGATAGTTATATCTTTTATCGTATCGTATATGCATCTGAAAGTTCTTACACATTTCGAACGAATATATTGTATACACACGTAATGTTGACAACGTATATTTTTCACGTTTCTCTTTACCATATGTCAAGAAGTACGCTGACGTTGACAATTTGTTATGTAATCATTTTGTTTTACGTTCTTTCGTTGAGATTACGTAAATAATCCTACCATAAAGTGCGATTATCTACTATTTTAATTTAAGCTCACAAAAGCTAAGAGATGCTGGTGGGGAAATATATAGAGACAAAAATATATAGAAATGACCTTTTCAATTACATTCCATGTATTCATTAATTAGGGTGGATTAATTAAGCATGGATTTTTCACATATAACATCTTAAATTTACCGCGTTTTTTTCTATGGTGTTCACAACGCCATTACACGTAGTGGCAAAACGCACAAACTGTTAGCTAAATTACCTGTCTAATAGTTTGAGTGTTTCATCACTACCCCAATTGGCGCTGTGTGGACCCTGATGGTAGTTTCATTGTTTTTCCGAAAGTGGCGTCACAATCGTCCACACAGATGCATGCATACAATACATATCGCATATGCACAATTGTGCGCGGAGCAGGCGTATGCAGGCGTGCAGGTGCCTGCAGGGTCGCCCGCCTAAAAATATTAATTGTGGACAAATTAGGGCATAAAACCCTGATAAAAAGTAATCCAAGGGTACGGAATTGTTCAGAAGAATTGACTGTGTTGATATTGAGTATAAATCTGTTCACGTAGAATTAGATGTCACACCTTTTTTCTTGGAGAAGCGTCGAATTGCATTGGATGCATTTTACGATTTTGTTAGCTAACTTCAAGCATGTGCTCACAGTACATAATGTAAACAATGACCAAAGACTGTGTATCGCAGAAAAAAGTAGATAATATTTTGTTTGAACATTTTTCTTATAATTGTACATCGTAATATTGTTTGTATTGACACTTTACTATGCAAACGTTTTCGTTATTTGTAAATTTCGCTGTTATATTGTGGTTCTTGTAATTTAAGTTTTATTTAACAATTATTAAAGACTGTATTTAAAAAGTACGTTTAATAAAGCCACACAGATTGTAACATTCTTTTATAGAAACTTTTCTTTCTCGTAAAATTTACGCTATGTAATCTGAAAATTAAAATTTGTCATAACAAACGAAAAAAATTCTTTGTAATCTTATGGTTGGGTTTTTTTAGTTTGATGTTACTATACATAGTGGTGATGTATATAATGATTTTTCTAGCCAAATTATGTCAGCCGAGGAAACGAATCGCAATACAACATTACAGCCCATAGAGGAGAATAATCAATCTGTGACTAGTACATCTCAACATGCTGGGAATAGTAGAGAACCTAATGCTGTTAGACCTCAAGAACAAAGTAGCCGACAAAATAGTCTTCAAAGAATACAACAACGAAAGCAGCAAATGTTAAATTTGCCGCAAATGAAAAAGATATTGAAAATTGCAGCTTACAGTGCTTGTAAAGTTGAAGATTGCAAATGTATAGGCTGGAAGAACCCTCAATTACTGATAAAATCCCCTAAAACTGACTCGCAACAACCTATCATTAATTTTTTTGATCCCTGCAAAAGCTGTACACACGTTTTAGAAAATCATGTTTCTCACTTAACTAATCAATCGGAAGAGGAAATCAATAAATTATTATGTATGGTTATCGATGCTGACAATATTTTCTTGGGATTACAAAAGGAAGAAGATCCAGATACCAAAAAAGTTTATTTTTATTTGTATAAACTCTTACAGAAATGTATACAGTCCATGACAAAACCTACGATAGAAGGTCCTTTAGGGCAACCACCCTTCGAAAGACCCAGTATAGCGAAGGCGGTAATGAACTTTGTAGCATATAAATACGGGCATTTGCCGCAAAGAGACATGCAAGCAATGTGCGACATGGCGAAGATGTTTTTACATTGTTTAAATCATTGGAACTTTGATCCGCTTAGTGCTAGAAGAGGAACGATTAGCGTGGAGGATGCTCCTGCTTATAAAATTAATCATACACGTTGGTTGGTTTTTTGCCATATACCAGCATTTTGTGATTCTTTACCTCATTACGACACATCTCTGGTATTTGGTCGAACCTTTGTCCAAGCCATCTTTAAACCAGTTTCTAGACAATTATTAGATAAGTGTCATATCGAACGAGATAAATTGGCACCAGAGAAGAGAGTGATAGTTCTAACGCATTTTCCTAAGTATGTTGGAACATTTTTTTCTTTTCCGTCTATCCTACTAGAATAGGATTATCTATAGAATAGGAATACTTTATTTCCAGATTTCTGTCGATGTTGGAAGCAGAAATTTATGCTGATAATTCGCCGATCTGGGATCCTGAATTTAAACAAGTGCCTGCTACTTATTTACAAACTGCGTTAGAATCGAAACCAAGTCAAGGAAGAAGAACTGGTGAATTTGAAAAAGTTACAGTTACTCCAAACGACAAAGATAACTACACAACGATTAATATAAGTCCTGGTATGAAGAAAGTTCATGAAAAAAGGTCGCATTCCGAAGGACGTACAGACGTAAAAAGAAGAAGAAACGAAGAAGTTTTCGAAGATTTACCAGAAGAAACTGTAGCTGAAATTGTAGCGACTATCAATGATCCTAACTATATGTGCGGACCTGATGCAGTTTTTCCACCTAATGTTCCCAGAGATGAAACTGCTAAGATCGAGGAAAGCAGAAAAATTATTGAATTTCACGTTGTCGGGAATAGTTTGACACAGCCAGTGTCCAAGCAAACTATGCTTTGGCTAATTGGATTGCATAATGTATTTAGTCATCAATTGCCTAGAATGCCAAAAGAGTATATATCTCAATTAGTTTTTGATCCGTAAGTATGAAAAATATCTGAAAAATCTTCAAGTTTGTTTATGGATACCTTTCGAATTTTCAATTAGAATTATCTTGCATTTTTAGAAAACACAAAACATTGGCTCTGATAAAAGATGGTCGACCAATCGGTGGTATTTGTTTCCGAATGTTTCCTTCTCAGGGGTTTACAGAAATAGTATTCTGTGCTGTCACAAGTCAAGAACAAGTTAAAGGCTATGGTACACATTTAATGAACATGCTCAAAGATTATCACATCAAAAATGATATATTGCATTTCCTGACTTTCGCCGATGAATTTGCAATTGGATATTTTAAAAAGCAAGGTTTCAGCAAAGATATTAAGATACCTCGATCGATGCATCAAGGATATATCAAGGACTACGAAGGTGCCACATTGATGCACTGTGAATTGAACGCTAAGATCGTATACACCGAGTTTACGGCTGTTATAAGGAAGCAAAAAGAAATTATTAAAAAACTGATTCATCAAAGGCAACAAGAAATACAAAAGGTTCATCCCGGTTTGACATGTTTCAAAGAAGGTGTCAGAGGAATTCCTGTTGAATCTATTCCTGGTATTCGTGAAACCGGTTGGAAAAGTTACGCTCAAACGAGAACAAGGGGAGTAGCCAAAGGGACTCAAGGGCCGGAGCCGATGGAGGCATGCTTAGACATTACCGATTCGTTGTATAATGCTTTGAAAAACGTTTTGAACAGTGTCAAAAATCATAGTACGGCGTGGCCTTTCTTAAAACCTGTAGATAAAAACGACGTGCCAGATTATTATGATCACATTAAATATCCCATGGGTAAATGCAATATAAGAATAACTTTGATAAGCTAATTACATGCAATTCTATACTATACAGGCCAATACACTTGACCCTTATGTTCTAGATCTGAAGACCATGAGCGATCGATTAAAAGCGCGATACTATGTGACAAGAAGATTATTTATTGCCGACATGACTCGAATTTTTACTAATTGTCGTTTGTATAATAGCCCGGACACTGAATATTATCGATGTGCTAACGCTTTAGAAAAGTATTTTCAAACGAGAATGAAAGAGATTGGTCTGTGGGATAAATGAAATTTGTTATGTAAGGAACAGTTACTTTATTTGTAAAATGTTATCCTATTTTGTATGTACGTTTACCTGTAAATATAAAATTTTCAGAATTATAAATTAAAAAGAAATATTTATTTATTTATTTATTTTTTTATTTATTTATTTATCTATCTATTTATCCATTCATTTATTTTTTCATTAATTTATCAGTAAAACGTTCGATTTTTACTAATACTACGATAGAATAGTTGATTCTATGCGTGCATGTATATTGCACTCTAAGAAATTGTTGAAAATAGGATACACACAGCAAATTAAGACTGAGCTAGGTAGTTAATTTCACGGCCTAATTATAAGCATTAGTCGAACAGTTAATTAAGAAATGTAATACACCGATTATAATGAGTCCTTTGCCCAGTGATTATTCTCTGGAACAGTGAATTCTGAAAATGCGTTAATTCTGGGAGACTTGGCGTGCCGAAACATCTACTCTCTGCAAATATGGCAGCAAGTTAATTTCTTATAACTAAATTTATAATTAAACTGAAACCAATTCGAGAAGTTGAAGCAAACGTGAACATGTATGTACATATATCTTTTTTTCTATACGGGTGAGTACACTTTTCAAATATCAAAGAAGAATCTAGTACAATGTAAAGTACTTGACTTGAAAATACAAATCTGTAATCGTGGTTGATGCAATCTCTAGATTATAATTACTAAATAAATGATTAAGTAAGACACGAGACTTACAATTGTCATGGCGAAAATATTATTGTAGATAGAAGATTCTAGATGGTATATAAATCATTTTATTTTCTGATGTTTTTATTTCGATAGCATCTTGCAACAAATTGTATTCTGTAACCTAAACGAATTCATTCGTGTTCAGTTGCTTAAGCTGGTTTTCGCTTTCTTTAATAAGCGATCCTACTTATTTTTATAGGATCTTAAATATAAGCGAGGGATATCAATACGCGCGTATATTCTTCCAGTTACTTCTCTTAAGAGAATCTTACAGAACCAAAGAGACAAGGAAATAATCTTATGCTCTACTTCATACGAACTCTGTGCCTAATTGGCATATATTAAAAACCAATTAAACTTTCTTATAAGGTATTCGTCTCAGCATTTGTATCAGATGCGGTGTTAGTACAGTTACACGAATTTCAAAGATCTGTTCAACTTTTAAATCAATCTCTTGGACATAGTATTTTCTATTTAACAAGAGTAGTAAAGTACTGATAGAACTTTTTCCTACATACGTGTGCAAGGAATTTGTAAAAGATCTGCTAAATAAATGATCAAACAGATAACAATAAGAATAATAATAATGATAATAATAATAATAATAATAATGATGATTTGCTGCATTATATTTTCAGCACAAATTGGTTTACTAGACCATAAGCAACAGTATAAAATATAGGCACGAGTGGGCAGAGGCAGACTAAGAGGGGGAGTCAATATAAAGCAGCTCCATTCTTTCACCGAAACAATATTGGAGAAGTCATTGTACTGTTGAGAGATAAGTACTAAATCTAGAATCGTGTAAGAAGGTTTCCTTGTTTTCGATAAATAATTGAATTTTGCTTTCCTTATACATAAGAAAAAATTAACCAACTAAATTTTACAATGTGTGACGACGATGTGGCAGCTTTGGTAGTTGATAATGGATCAGGAATGTGCAAGGCAGGATTTGCAGGAGACGATGCTCCACGTGCAGTGTTCCCTTCTATTGTGGGAAGGCCACGATATCAGGTACAATAGATTGCTTCTTATTCTTTTTTTTCTCTGCGAAAATTAGCAGACTTTACTTTTTTGTAATGTTAAACAATGCTAAATATTTATACAACGATAGAGCATTAAATATTTGGTCTTGCCCATAGTATGTATGTATGTATAAAGAATGTTCACATATAGATTAACATTAAAAATTGTGTGTCCGGATGAAAATTCTGCCCTCCTCCCCTCCGTCCACCCCTAAACTTATTGTACCATTATCTAATTGAATTTCATTTGGGAAAAATGATACAGGGTATCATGGTTGGTATGGGGCAAAAAGACAGTTACGTAGGAGACGAAGCTCAAAGCAAACGGGGTGTTTTAACAGTTAAATATCCAATTGAACATGGCATTGTGACAAATTGGGACGACATGGAAAAAATATGGCACCATACATTTTACAATGAATTGCGAATCGCTCCAGAAGAACATCCCGTACTTCTGACAGAGGCTCCTTTAAACCCAAAAGCTAATCGGGAAAAGATGACACAAATCATGTTCGAGACATTTAATTCTCCAGCAATGTACGTTGCTATACAAGCGGTTTTGTCACTTTACGCTTCAGGACGCACTACCGGTATCGTATTAGATAGCGGTGATGGAGTTTCGCACACGGTGCCGATTTACGAGGGTACGAAGAATCTTGTCGAATACTTTGTTCACACACATATATCTATCATACATTGTACACTCGTGTTTTTAATGTTATTCAAATACTGTACCATCTTTTCTTTACTTTATTTAGGATACGCATTACCGCATGCGATTTTACGTATGGATTTGGCTGGTCGCGATTTAACGGATTACCTTATGAAGATTTTGACGGAGAGAGGATATTCTTTCACAACGACCGCCGAACGTGAAATTGTCCGAGACATTAAAGAAAAATTGTGCTACGTTGCTTTAGATTTTCAACAAGAAATGGCTACAGCGGCTGGTTCGAGCGCTCTGGAAAAGAGCTACGAATTACCAGATGGCCAGGTACGACCATTTAATTAAATACATACACACGTATATTGTATTTATTTATCGAAGAAAATGACCATATTAGAAGAGAAATTAAGAAGAGAAATGGGAAAGAGATGAAAGAAACATCGGATTTCAGGTGATCACAATCGGTAACGAACGCTTCCGGTGTCCAGAAGCGATGTTTCAGCCAAGTTTCTTGGGCATGGAATCGTGTGGCATTCACGAGACAACGTACAACTCGATCATGAAATGCGATGTCGACATACGTAAAGACTTGTACGCGAACTCGGTGTTGTCGGGCGGTACCACCATGTATCCAGGTATAGCGGATAGGATGCAAAAGGAAATAACGGCACTGGCACCGTCTACGATGAAGATCAAGATAATCGCGCCTCCGGAAAGGAAGTACTCGGTCTGGATCGGTGGCTCGATCTTAGCCAGCTTGAGCACCTTCCAGCAAATGTGGATCTCGAAGCAGGAGTACGATGAATCGGGGCCGTCCATCGTACATAGAAAGTGTTTCTAATTTATACTCATTCCACTATAATCGTCTATCACAGTCCGGTTCTGGTTTTGACAAAAAATGTCGACATGCTGTACGAAATAATCTTATTTATTCAATATCTCTTATTCCTAAAGTGTAACTCGATCGTATTATCTATATACAGAACATTTCGTAAGCGGGGCTTGATTCGTCGTAATTGTTTTAATCGCATCGAAAACCTTTGTTGAGTTTATATAGTTTTAAATAGGTTTCTTTTTCATATTATTAAAGCGATTACGTATTTTCCACGTTTATTGAACCACCATGCAGTTACGAAACATCCTGTATATGCAATGCCGAGATAATATATGTATTATATATTATGTAATTTAATAAATATATTTTACATATATTATATTTCAATTCGATTAAGTTCGAAACATGTACGTATTTATTTATACTTGTGTACATACGTAAACGTGTTGCGTAAACGTATGCGCATGGTCTCACATACACAATCGGAGATAAATGTATAAACGTCATATACTCATATACATATATGTATGTATCTACGTATGAACGATGACGAGCGCGCGCGCGCGCGCGCCTGTAGGTACTGCCTATGTATGTATGCACATATATGTATGTACTTACGTACGAATGCATTTATATGTATACAGAATACAGATCCCGAAGATTGCAATTTGTAGGAGTTGGAAATCTCATCGATTCCAAATTTAAAGATTTAATTGTTCAAGTTTTTATAGACAAATGTACCAACGCGCGATAACAAATCAAACGATATAACGCAGTTGTATACTGGAATTGTGAATGGTTACCTATTTCTTTTTCTACTACATACACATATATGTATTAAGTACAATTTATAAATAAAAATCATTGGAATTAAACAATCGATCATTAAGTTTGTATAAAAATGCGTTATGTTATTTTTTACGTATTTTCAATACACACTCGAGAAAATTTTGGATAACAATAAAAGACTGTTTAACAAAGACACAAATTGTACAAAATCCATTTACTTTGTTCAATGTAAAAGAAAGATAGGACCGTATCCGATCATTTATTTGTATAATACTCTGGTATCTAAACGTTCCATTATCGAATCATCTCGTATTATTTACATACATCATCGTCTAGTAGAGAACTTGAATGAAATTTTTATAGATAATAGAGTATTTTAATATCAGGATATTACAAAAATAAATCCTCGGATAAGAGTACGTATATATACTCTTATATGTATATATTTCGGTAGAGCTCGATTGATAGATACACACGTGTATTAAATAAAAAAGAAACTCAAAACTAACATTTAATTGGAAAGATGTTCCTTTATTTACAAATTCTAGTGCTATATTTACCGTGTCGCAACGTCGAGCATTTCAGTTCATGAAATTCAGATACTTCTCATGGACGGTTAAATCGAGTACCTCGTCAATTGTCGCGTAGTATAAAACAAAGTAATATGTACAACTAAATGTGATAGATGAATAGTAGAGATTAGTACCTTTACCGAAATACGTGCAAAAAATCAGAATTAAATGCAACGGTAAAATTTACATAAAAAGAGAAAGATTCATGAAAGATATATGTATCTATGTAGTACGTATGTATATACATGTATACATACATACATATATGTTTGCTGTTTGAATGTTTGTAATGTATGAATGTATTGCATATTTATATACATATAACTTGAATATGTAATGTATTCCTGAGAATTTTTGGGAATTGTCTGTATCGAAAAAACGTTAAATAATTTAAATGTTAGAATAAGTTGTAAACGAGTGAAGTTGAACATTTTTTAAAATTTAGAGCATCGATACAATATTTTGGTGACGATATATGTATGTAGTTGCGTGGTAAACAGTATTAATAATCGAATAAAAATGAATGACAAAAGTTAATTAAATTTCTATTTTCCGCGCGCACTTTCTATAACTGGACGTCGTAACCCCTTTTCCTTCGCAATATTTATACATATGAAAGAATGAAATATTACAAGTAACGTAGAATCTTTTATATATGTACATAAGTGGTTTATGATGTCATCATGGCCGATGAATGGAAGTTATATCTTTTACATTACTTGTTTGTTACTTACTTATCGAGAGCTATGTGTTCCCTTAACTGTAATACTTATTTTTAACACATTCGCGAACCATTGTATTAATCAAATTTGTTGCACAGCAGTCGGCTGAACTCGTATTCTGAATCTAACGATCTCAGAATATGAGTTAACAAAATAAATAGTTTCTCTCAAATGTCGCTTGAAATTTACAACAATTTAAAATACTATCATTTATGCAATTCCTACACGTTATAACTTATAACTGTCATAAATACAGCTCTTTCATTCATACCGTTTTCGTGTGATAAGAAACGCGATCAATTTTGTTGTCTTTTTTAATGAAATGCAGAAAATGTTCCTTTAATCGTTACGTAATTATTTGAAAATTTGAATATACGTACATACATACGTACATATATATATATATATATATATATATTTGAAATTTTCAAATAATCGTATTCTTATATACAATTCCGAAAGAATTTACAAACAATCTTTTCGATGTAGTTCCTTACATTTTAGGAAGACAATGGTTATATTTATGAATGTTTTTAAACCTATCATAGATAATTAGACAATTTATGTTTATTATACTACAAAAATGGTCCACAAAGGGTGCAACATAGCTGAGATAATTTACCGGATGGACGCACGAGATGCTTATCGGAATACATCGTAATGTAAACGTTCTAAACGCTTCAAAATCATATTGAGTAGAATTTGCTTTTCAACACAGACTTAATGTTCTTTGAAACTTTCGGATTTGTACTATCTTGAAACTTATTTAATAATAAATAAGATTTGCAAACATCTGATTCAATATGGTTTTGAATTTTTTAGGATCTATTCTATCAACTACATGTGTTTTCACCGTTTCAAGAGTATTCTAGTCCTTAAGAATAAATATTTTAATACAATAAATACATTTGTACCATTGGTACTTTTTGGAAATAGTTATGGGACAATTTCATTGGTACGAATTTTGTCCTTTACCAAAATTTTGTCCTTTCGAGACCAAAGAAAAGGGGCTACGAGGAATCTGAGATAGATCGTATTGTTCGCTCGCGTGTGGTCGCAACAGATTAATTTTCAAATTTTGTATCTGCAGCATGCGTTTCTGCATATTTCTATATTCCCAATTCAATCGAAATATAAATTTTAAATGAAACGTTATACAAACTATTGCAAAACACAATACATGCGATCTGAGCGTGTGTAAGTTAATGATGATTATTATTATTATAATAATTTGTACAATTCCGATTGAGATTTCAGATATAAATAATAAATACTAATTAAAATCAAATGAATGAATAATGTATGTTTTTATCAAATTGCAACAATATACGTAGTTGTACGAATAAAATGATTCTTTCAACCGAATTGAACGAAACGAATCGCAAAATCAGTATTTTCTGAAACAAATTTTCGCAATAAGTGAACGGTTTATCGACAATTATGAAGAAAATAAAAAGGTGGTAGGTACTCCTATCAGTTATGATTATCTTTCCTGAATTGTATTTTAAAAAAGGTAATAAAAATATCTTTGGTGCCCCTATTTCAAGTAATATAAAGAATATGATGTTAGAAAAGAGAACGGGAATATAAGGGAGCAAGTCTATCAGAAAGATTAAAAATTAATAAGACAAAGGTAGTCGAGTCTGTCGTCGCGTAAAAGTTTATCTCCGAGTAGATTTTCTTCTACCTGTCGATCGTTTTGGACGCCGACTAGTTGATCGTGGCATGTTTGACCAAGGTAAAGAAAATTCGCTGTAATTGTAAAATTCATTGTAATTAACCATGGCATGATCGAACGAACGAACGAACGAATGTACGAACGACGAACGAACGACGACGAACGAACGACGAACGAACGAACAAATTAATGAATACGTTTCTATTTACCTTGGAGTAAAACTAGGAATAGGAGCACCAAATGCGGTAATAGGTAATTGGGCATCCACTTGTAGACTTTGTATTTGTTCTATATCAGGCCATAGCGACGACACAGCTTCTTCTTCGACCGTGGAAGGACAGGGACCTGTATGATTTGTATTGTAACAGGTAGCTTGATGATTTTGACGTTCTTGCCTCTGCTTCAGTTTTTCTATGTGCCTCTGCTCTCTGCAACAACAAGTCGTTTTCGCGTAATGCGCGCTACGATATGACATTGTAATAAGCACGAAAAAAAATGATAAAAAACTATTATTTTCAACGATCACCAGATACAAACCTTATCCTTTGTACGTCCCACCTTTTTCTTCTCCGTTCATCGTTTTCCAATTTTAAATGTCTCTTATTGAAAATTTCATCGTCTAAATTTTCAGTTCCTTCCATCGTATAACAGCTTGTATATATTTTTACTCTCCAATTTGGTACTTCCAAAGAGGTATCGCATTCCACAGGACTAGGTTCTTTCAAACTTAACGTATAATTAGAGTCGCCAACGGCTGTATAATAATGTTCTTCGGTTGTAAGAAAAGATTGTTTCTTTGCTAACAGCTTGCCCTTTCTATCTCCTTTTCTATTCGATTCGTGGGCCAACACCTTGTCCTGTACCGTCGAAGAAGTATCATTGCTGATCGTGGACGAACACGAAACACCCCTTTTTCTTTTGCTTCCACTGGATAATGGTATCGGGTCCGATCTCCTTTTCTTTCTCTCTTCCCATTCTAATCTACTATCGCTACTAGTTTCTATTTTTGCCTCGAGTTTGCCTTGATTATCGTTTGGTTCTTGTTTGACGGTGGTAATTCCACCGCTAGTGTTCAAACGTATTTTAAAGCTTTCGTTATACTGAGAATTATTGTTCTCCGTCTGAACATTCCTATGAATCTCACTGGTCGATGGCACATTTACAGAATTGATGTTTGGAGGAGAACACGCTTCGATGTGCTCCGATGTAATGGAATTTTCATTATTTTCAGATCTCAATTTTTGTAAGTTCACACGTCTGTCCATACGTTCTAAACGTAGTTTAAGCTATAACATAAATATTCACTTGTTAGTGAAACCAAATAGGTAGAACTTTGACAGCGTTAGGAGTTGCATTGTCCTGACTTGTAAAAAGACAGAAAATATACATATATTTGAATTATATGTTTGAATAACGTTCAAAAGAGAAACATTGCGTGTTGCACAGCTATGCAGGTTACTATTTAAAAAACGTCGAATAATTAAAGAGTCGATCGGTCCATTGTATTCGTGAAATAACGTAGCAACAACTGAACTTAAAAAGCAGAATCGTAGGAAAACTTGGCGGATCAAGTTCGCTTTCATATTTAACGCTAACGGGAGTGTCCGAGGGTAAACAATCGCATAAATTATGTAGTGTTCGATCGAACATCTCTATTTACTGTCAACAAACGACAAGTCGGTCGAATTCTGGTTTCTTTCCGAATTCCAGGCATTATTGTTTCCACAATTAATCACACGTAGGCTTAGCAAGACGTAGCGGCAGCAGTAATAATATGTTTGAATGATTTAAAATAAAATTCTTCCACAAAGTCCTTTCTCATAAAGAATCTCCCATTTTCCATTGTGAAGGTGCCGTCATTGCCAAAGCAGATTGCGCGCGAGAATCGAACAGAAACGTGTAACGTGCTCCGTATTTCGAAGATACGATTCTTTCCGAAACAGCGCCATCCCGTGGCAACGTTGCGGCTAGCCTTCACGATTGGCTGACCAATGACGGAAACAGGTCCAATGTCCAACAACCGGGAAAACGTAACCAAAAGCAATAGTAGTAGTAGTAGTAGTAGTAGTAGTAGTAGTAGTAGTAGTGTAGTAGCATGTAGTAAGCAGATGCGTACACCGAGACGCGCGACAGATAAAAGCGCGGGTATTTTAGAATGCGCGCTTTTCGAAACGAATTCTCGATAATCATGATCCGTGAAAGGTTCGGCGAGAATGTCGACTGAAGTAGAAGTAACGATGTTAACAATAATGCTAATGACAATTCAATAATGATAATGGTAATGATAACGATTACGGTAACAATAACGATAACGATAATAGCGAGGCACGAAAAAGGCTTTAAACGATGTTATACAAAATATAGAAGAAAAAGAAAATGCAAAAGAAAAAGAAGGAAAAGAAATTCTTGCATTGTAAAGGAAAGAGAGTACCGTTTCGTTCTCTTGTCGAAGTGCTGCTAAAAGTTTATCCTTGGTAACGATTTGTTCGGACTGTTGTTGGATCAAATCGAGATGAAGAAGCAACAGTTCCTTGAGGTGTTTCACCTCCGTCAAATCATTCTGACGCGGTTCGTTGCCCCGAAGAGGGCTGACACCGAGAGCGGAGGTGGCAGTGGCAGCTGCCGGGGCTCCGCCGTCTGTCATGCTGGCGTACATGTGATCGAAATCACAGGGAAAACTGAGTATTCCAGCGGCCGGTTTGCCGTTTTCGTCGACGTTCTGGAATTCATTGCGAGAACAACTGTTGTTGTTCTGATTGAGAACGGAATTGGCAGCTGTACTGGTCGTCGATACCGTGCTACTCCGAACGCCGCTGGTGGCCGACGTGGTGGACAAGTGTTCGTTCATCGCCGCAACCATGTTGTCGTCGTCCTCCTCGTTGTCCTCTTCCTCGTCTCCCTCGTAACAAGAGGTAGCGGCAGAAACGGCCGTGGTCGTTTGATCGTCGTGCTCGATGATAGTAAAGATGGTAGTGGTGGTGGTATCGGTAGCGTTGGTAGTGGTGGCGGTCAAATTAACGATTGGTGCCTCGATACACGTACCCGGGTACGGGTCCTGAAACTCGGTTTCACACAGCTCCGTTTCGTCGTTTGTCTCGGTTTGATCGTCTTGATCCTCCTCCTCCTCCTCCTCCTCCTCCTCCTCCTCCTCCTCTTCCTCTTCTTCCTCCTCCTCCTCGTCCTCATCCTCCTCCTCCTCCTCTTCTTCCTCTTCTTCCTCCTCCTCCTCGTCCTCATCCTCCTCCTCCTCCTCTTCTTCCTCTTCTTCCTCCTCCTCCTCGTCCTCATCCTCCTCCTCCTCCTCTTCTTCCTCTTCTTCCTCCTCCTCCTCGTCCTCATCCTCCTCCTCCTCCTCTTCTTCCTCTTCTTCCTCCTCCTCCTCGTCCTCATCCTCCTCCTCCTCCTCTTCTTCCTCTTCTTCCTCCTCCTCCTCGTCCTCATCCTCCTCCTCCTCCTCTTCTTCCTCTTCTTCCTCCTCCTCCTCGTCCTCATCCTCCTCCTCCTCCTCTTCTTCCTCTTCTTCCTCCTCCTCCTCGTCCTCATCCTCCTCCTCCTCCTCTTCTTCCTCTTCTTCCTCCTCCTCCTCGTCCTCATCCTCCTCCTCCTCCTCTTCTTCCTCTTCTTCCTCCTCCTCCTCGTCCTCATCCTCCTCCTCCTCCTCTTCTTCCTCTTCTTCCTCCTCCTCCTCGTCCTCATCCTCCTCCTCCTCCTCTTCTTCCTCTTCTTCCTCCTCCTCCTCGTCCTCATCCTCCTCCTCCTCCTCTTCTTCCTCTTCTTCCTCCTCCTCCTCGTCCTCATCCTCCTCCTCCTCCTCTTCTTCCTCTTCTTCCTCCTCCTCCTCGTCCTCATCCTCCTCCTCCTCCTCTTCTTCCTCTTCTTCCTCCTCCTCCTCGTCCTCATCCTCCTCCTCCTCCTCTTCTTCCTCTTCTTCCTCCTCCTCCTCGTCCTCATCCTCCTCCTCCTCCTCTTCTTCCTCTTCTTCCTCCTCCTCCTCGTCCTCATCCTCCTCCTCCTCCTCTTCTTCCTCTTCTTCCTCCTCCTCCTCGTCCTCATCCTCCTCCTCCTCCTCTTCTTCCTCTTCTTCCTCCTCCTCCTCGTCCTCATCCTCCTCCTCCTCCTCTTCTTCCTCTTCTTCCTCCTCCTCCTCGTCCTCATCCTCCTCCTCCTCCTCTTCTTCCTCTTCTTCCTCCTCCTCCTCGTCCTCATCCTCCTCCTCCTCCTCTTCTTCCTCTTCTTCCTCCTCCTCCTCGTCCTCATCCTCCTCCTCCTCCTCTTCTTCCTCTTCTTCCTCCTCCTCCTCGTCCTCATCCTCCTCCTCCTCCTCTTCTTCCTCTTCTTCCTCCTCCTCCTCGTCCTCATCCTCCTCCTCCTCCTCTTCTTCCTCTTCTTCCTCCTCCTCCTCGTCCTCATCCTCCTCCTCCTCCTCTTCTTCCTCTTCTTCCTCCTCCTCCTCGTCCTCATCCTCCTCCTCCTCCTCTTCTTCCTCTTCTTCCTCCTCCTCCTCGTCCTCATCCTCCTCCTCCTCCTCTTCTTCCTCTTCTTCCTCCTCCTCCTCGTCCTCATCCTCCTCCTCCTCCTCTTCTTCCTCTTCTTCCTCCTCCTCCTCGTCCTCATCCTCCTCCTCCTCCTCTTCCTCTTCCTCGAACTCCTCAAGATTATCGAGATTGTTGAGATCGTCGAGATGATCCGATGCCTTGAAAGCAGAGTTTACGTCGTGGTACTCCACGCTGCCGACGACGCCCCCGGCGGTCAAGCCGATAACACAGACACCGCTATTACTACCGCTGTCACCGTCGCCGCAACTACCAGAGAAACAGGCTCTATCATTACCACTGTCACTACCAAAATTGTCGGCGATGTTAATACTAGAAGCATCAACACGAGTTCTAGGAGCGGCATCAAGAGTAGTAGCGTTACTGTTACTGTTACTGTTACTAGTATCACCACCAGCGAGAACAACTATGGAAGAGGCAGTGCTGCCAGCAGCGCCGCTCTCGTTCCCCTTCCTGTTCCCGTACTTGTACGCGTGAACGTTCTCCTTCTTATTCTGACCGTTCACAAGCTTTGAGGCCGAGCCACTCGACATCTTCCCTCTCTACCACCCTCGCCGTGGCTTCCCTCTTCTTCATTTGTGGCCGCCTCGAGCGTACCACGCGCCCGCACCGCGCACATTAAGCGTCTTGACAATGTCCTCACCGATGATGCCCTCTTCTCACCGCTGTTCTATATCCTCCACACATATCATTACTTTGTCCGATTGATGGTCGCGCGTCGCGTCGCGTCGCGTCGCCTCGCCTCTCACTCTCCCGACACTGTTTGCTGTTTCGCCGTTTGCTTTCTCCTTTGAATATTTTTCTGTCTAAACACTCGTCAAAAAATATCTGCCACTACTGGCAGACTGGCGGTGGTGGTACAGCGGTAGAGCAGTGCGGCGGTACAACACGAGGCGCCTCTCTCGCCCGAGTTCGTGCTCGTGCTTTTGCTTTTGCTTATGCCTATGCTCGTGCTTGTGTTTACTCTGACGGACGATGCGAGCCGCGCACGGCGTTTCCCTGTCCTCCTAGCATCCTCGAGTTCTGACATCTCGCGGTCGCAACCGTAAACCTTTCGCGTTTTATTCCGTTCGCTCATCGATCGATTACTTCGACGTCGACCAACGTCGGTGGAACTCTCTCGCTTTCTTTTTACCTATATTTTTTCCTCCTCTTTCTCTTTCTGTTCCCTTACTATCTCTTTCTCCCTTTCCCAACTCCTCGCCTTTCTCGTTTCCTGTTCCTTTATTTCCGATGCGACTAGACAGACCAGTGGCATTGCGTGGTGGCGCATGGTGGCGTACAGTGGCGTACAGTGGCGTGGTGCGCCATGGTGCGACGCGCAACCGATGCCTGCAACTTGCTTCTATTTCTCGTAATGAATATTTGCGCATGCGTGCTATATTTTGTCCACAGCAGATTGTTGTACAAACGTATCGTGTGTGTAGGTATTTTGCTAGCATTCACGGTCGATATTTTCTTGGCATAAAGAAGATACAAGAGATTATTTTACATAGCCTTGCAACCGTTACGATTTTTTCGATGACTTTTGAAAGAAACACGCTTGACGACATGTACAAGATAGATATGGTTCAACGTTAATTAAACGTCGTGTTCTTACGCTACTTTACCGTTCGATTAGAAATTTATTGTAAATACGTGTGGATGAAAACAACATTAAAAGCGCGGTAATTACAGTTGCGGTAAGGGTGACGTATGATAATGATAATTTTCGAACATTTTTGATAATGTCGACGAAGCTGATTGTATTTATTTTTGAATCTTTTCTTTTTTTTTTGATAATAGGTAGTTCGTGGACGCGCGTATTCGTAACGTGCAACGCAATATCATTCGAACAGGCTACAATGTTGCACTGTTAACAAATGTGTACATGTTCGGCGCAAGATGAATTTCTTTATACGTATATGTATGTGTATTTAACCAATGAAATCGGGACCCACAGGGATTACTTGGATTACGTATAAGGAGATGGATATAAAACGTGACAATTTAAATATTTAATGTTGCCACATGTGTTGGTATTTTATAGTTAGAACAAGAATACAAGAAAAACATTTATTTTAATAATTTGTATATTGGCATCAAAAGTTGTAGTCTATAATGCGTTATACATTCTCGTAGCGTTCTATGAGAAAACGGTGACGCCGATGAATAAAGCGAGAATGTTTTTTTAAATAATTGTAGTAATGATTGTGAATAATGAACTTTCTAGTGTGTAACGAGAATCTTTGAGCGTACGAGTTTTGTGGGATACACTCCATTGCATCCTACGGATATGTATAATCGACCTGTCATGGAACAAGGAACTTGTAATATAGTAGGGGATTGCGTATAAAAGAGAAGGAGCTAACACTAAATGCTGTAATTGTACCGCGACAAACTTATGCAACGTTAACTGATAAACGGTAATACGAAATATAATTACAAACTGTGTTTTGTTAGATTTTCTATTCGATTCGCAACTGATATTATCGATTTTGATTTTGAACGAGTTCGGAGACAAACGTGTACTGTACATGCAGAGAATTTGTTACCTGTAAGCTACAAGAACCGCGAACGGAACTAAAATCATTCCTATCCATACACGTGCAAGTGTAGAAAGTTGATATACTCGATACAAATACGTATTCACACGAAACAACTTTTGGGTGCAATTGGTGAACAAAATAAATGGTTCATTGCGGGTTGCGGCATATGATATTATTCCGTCTATTCTGTCCATTCGATATCATTTGTTCAATATCATTGTTATAATAGGATTTCGGCGTGCCTCGTAACTACAGCTGACACTTAACGATTAATTATTTATCAACAAGTCGTCATCGATACGATCACGGTTCTCGAAATAATATTGGTTCTAAACAATGTCCTGGATATCATTCGTGATGTCAACGAAGGAAAACGAAGGAGAACGACTCGCACACTCCGTCGTTGAGTAATTGGTCGTTTTCGTAGAAAGATTTCTAGATTTTTGGATTTGTATGTTTGCAGAGATTTGTAGAGTTTTGAATTTGTTGATTTACAGGTTGATCGATTTGTTCAATCATGACTAATTTCGATCTAATTTTCAAGGAGTTAGTTGCAGCAGTCCATACTCCATACTCCATACACCATACAGCATACAGCATACTCCATATTCCATATTCCATATTCTATATTCCATACTTCATACTTCATACTTCACATACTCCATCGGTGTAAAGAAAAAACAATATTTCAAAGGAAATTACATGATATTGCAGCATTTAGTGACACGCCGTAGAAAAGAACATGTTTCTCTATTGATTCGGTATTAAAAATCTACCTAAATTTGAGTATTATTTGGATTCCAGGATGTACACATGGTAAATAAAAAGTTGCATCGTCAACCCGCAATTTACGATTCGACGACGCCCTCTTTTCCTAAACTATGCATACATTTGATGCTTCAACACGGTCGCGAGTTACCGTTTATATTACATTAATTAAATATTTAACAAGTATAACAACAACGATTTACATTAACTAATTACATGCATACATAAATATTATTACTTGCTACGATATACGATACTACTCTTTCTGTATATCTCTATGTACAATCGTTACAACGTTTATCGATTTTCTTGTTTCGATTAAAATGTCTCTGCCGAGCACACGTAACAAAATATTATATATTCGTGTAAAGTTATACATGTAACGATGTGAACACACTAAAAAATTTACTGTTCAAAAATATCGATATTTTTTTAAAGATCAATCTCACGGGTTCAAACGGTTTCAGGAATTGGCGAGTTACATTTTTCTCCGCAATCGTCTGGGGTGTTTCGCGTTCGTAAATGGCCTAAGACCTACGTAAAACATAAGTAAAAAGTCAAGTGGCAACCAGTCCAATTTATCCGGAAGAAATTAATTTTTCGAAAGAAAAATACGAAAAGAGAAACGAAAGAACAAAAAAATGATAATATGTGTTCCTCGGTGTAGAATTTTGTAGAATGTTACTGCAATGGAACAAATCGTATTCTTATGACTAGAGTTATAACGTTTAGTACAGTTATTCAACACAGTTAAATAATATCGTTCCTTAACTCTTTTCAAATACAGCTGCGTCAGACTAATGTAAAATACAACGATCATCGATTTTCTCCCATGCGTGTCGACGATCGGTAATCGATTGTGCTCTCGTGTCATGGATAATCTTTTCATTGAAAACATTTTGTTCGTCTCCAAAGATACGCTATGTGCTATATGTATATTATATGCTATATTCTACATGCTATACGCTGTACGCTCTACGCGTGTGTAAACGTATAGGTACATGTAAGTGTATGCGTATGTTAGCTTATTACGTGTATGTTCGTCTTTGTAAAGTTGAGCTGCGTTTAATGATTACTGGTAAACTTTGGGGTACGCGATCTTGGAATCTTACCATTGAAAGTAGATGATGTCTACGAGAATAAGAAGAGAAAGATGTAGAGAAAAAGGAAAACAGAAAGAGAAAAAGAAAGAAAAAGAAAGAAGAAGGAAGAAAAAGAAAGAGAAAAAGAGAAAAAGAAAGAAGAAGAAAAAGAAAAAGGAAAAGAGTTGAAGGGAGACGAGTAAATCTGTTCACTGAACAAATAGTAACGCGCAACGTTGAGCCTATTGTTCGTGATCCAATATTTTTACCGTCCGTTACGATAAGCCAACTGTGCTGGTAAAATAGGAACTAGATATAAGTTTACTTATAAAAATCAAACTCCTTTAAAAGTATGCGCGTGTCTTGACAGCATTTACGATACGCTACGATACGCTACGATACGCTACGATACGCTACGATACGCTACGATACGCTACGATACGCTGCGATTCGGTGCGATACGTTAAAATACGCGGAGCATCGTTCCGTTGACCCGTTCGATTCGTCAAAATGTTAAAATAGAAATTCCTCTCGGTACAGTGTTTCCTCTAAAAATATTGAAAACTCTGAATTTGTTGGTAAAACATTGTTACGATCGATGACAACGAACGAATTGAAAGAGTCGTCGCGATGCGCTCGTTACAGTCAAGCCACGGATTCTTCTAAGAAATTCGCATCGGCGCTCGGTTTGTTGTTCGCATTCGTCTCGGGACGTTCCTTTCGAAACAAATTACTGCTGGATCATTGAATTTTGTCGAGACACGCGAGAAAGCTCGCACACGGAACACAGAGTCCTCGTTGGTTCTATTGGTAAGAAATCTGTCGGAACATGCTACTGATCTCCTCCATCGTCTTGTTCTTGGTTTCGGGCACTTTCTTGTAAATGAAGAAGGTGAAGAATGCTTGCAGTACCGCGAAAATAATGAATACGTAAGCACCTAACGTCTCTTGCATTGGTAAGAATCCGATACTGACGATGAAATTCGCTGTCCAATTGACCGCGATGGCGACCGAAGTCGCGGCTGGTCTCGCAGATTGACTGAACAGTTCCGATACCAAGAACCAGGGAATACTTCCGGGTCCGGTCGCGAACAAGACCACGAACATGATCACCAACAAGATCGAAAAGTAGGCTGCCGCGCGGGACGTGTCCTGAAAAATAAAACATTTGTTTCTCAATCGTGTTTTTCGTTTCATCGATCATTTTGCATTTTCTATTTGTTCGTACAATTAATTACGGGCTCGTTATCGTCGCGTTTCCGTTTCGTCATGTTATAACTTCTCTAGAACTCCCACGAGAACGCTTCTAGAACCACGCTGGACCGTGCGAATCGACTAGGTAGGTGAGATTCGTTACTTACAGCGAAAGCGAGACAGATCGCGAGCAAAGCAGTGTCGATGAACATTCCGGTGAAGCCGATCATAAGCAACGTTTTCCTTCCAGCCTTCTCGACGAGTATCAAGGAAATGAAAGTCATGAGTACGTTCATCGCTCCGACACCCATCGTTGCATTCTGTGCCGCGTTCTTGTCGAGTTGCGCCATCGTGAAGATCTTCGTCGAGAAAAACATGACAGCGTTTATGCCGGACAGTTGTTGCGCGAACATCACCATGAGCGCGATTATCAGCGGGATTCGAAGAGCAGGATTCACAAAGAGTTCTTTCAGCGTGACCTTTGGCACCATCCTCACCGATTCGTACTCCGCCCTCATTTCTTCCATCTCGTCGTGAACTTCGATCGTGCCGCGTAGCCAGGACAAAGCTGTAACGTAGAAGAACGGAGATATAGGTGGTTTACGGTGGAAGCCGATAATCGTCTCGCGCCGATAACGCGCGTCGAATTCTCATTAAATAGGAAACAGCAAGCATAATCGAGCTTGCGCCTAATTCGGTACGCGGCAACGGTCGAGCCGCTGTTTCGGCGCTTTCGACAGTTTCGACGCGCGCTTGAGAGTAATAACTCACCTCTTTGAGCTTCCATGTCCTTTCCTCTACTGAGCAACAAGAATTTCGGACTTTCCGGGCATAGCGGAAGCGTGGCCACTTGGAAGATCGCGGGAACGATCGTCAAGCATAAAAGAAGAGGCCAATGATCGACCGTGCCCATCACTTGCTCCAGCCCGAGAATCTGCGATACGAGAATAGACATGGTGATAACCAATTGATAAACCGTTCCGACGGCTCCTCGCAGATGGATAGGCGATATCTCGGCTAAATACATGGGCGCTAGACCGGCATTCAATCCCGCGTTGATACCGATCAGGAGTCTTCCGACGATTATCATCTCGTAACTGTTCGCTGATTTGGCACAGCCCTCGAAAATTACTGTGAGGAGGACCAGCACGTTGTTCAGTAAGAGACCACCCTTTCTACCGAAACGATCGGCTATAGAACCCACCAGAGAACCGCCGATCATCCCGCCAACACAGAATATCGACACTGCTATCGACCATATCATCGTTACCTCCGATTGTTTCGGCGGCACACCGGTACGATTCGTTTTCAGCTCGCTGATCCAGTCCTCGATAAGCTGCAACACATCCATGAGAACGTCACGCGTTTATCTCGCTAGCAGGTCCGCGTTCGGTGTTCGTTCGTCTCGCGAGCCTCAACATTCTCTCTCTAGATATACCGTGTGAACATCGTAAACACCGTAAATACCGCAAATATCGCGAGCATCTTGCTCGTTATCGTACCCGATCTCGTAACACCCGGTCTCGTCGACAAATACCGGCGGACAAATACCGGCAAATAAAGTCGTCCGCGAAGCCTGTTCGCTCGAGAAAACTGAATTCCGTACATGTGAAAATTAAACAGCGAGGTAATTGCAAACGGAGGGGTTTCGGCTTTCTTCAGGAAATTCCGCTCTTCGTAGGTTCATCGAATCGATCGAATGGATATCGCGTCGATCATCGGCATTTAGAAACACGACGGTCTATAGCATAAATAACGAACAGCTCGAACGTATGGAATGCGCGTATGGAAAAATCACCGGTAACCCACGAATTAATGCGTAAGCAACTTGTAATTAACGGTATCGGCCATTGTCGTCGATCGTTCATCGTCCATCGTCGATCGTCGATCGTCGATCATTCTTTGTACTTTGTCCAATGTACGCGCGGTGCCACTATCGAATCGTGGACGAATTTCAAGCGCGCTCGAACGCGATTATGCAAAGGTATACGGTCGGTTAATGACGCAAGCAGAATTGTCAACCGTTTCTTATTCGCGTAAGCAGGAACGACGGATTATCATAAACCGATGAGCATTCTCGCGTTTCCTTTTCTTGGCCTCCGATACGATGCGGGACGATACGGAACGGTACGTTCCGATTGGCAGCGAACGAACGCACGATAACGGGAAAAGCCCGAATAAGCGAAGAAACGAATGACTCGCCAGTTTCAGAGAAACGCTGACAATCGACGATGCGTCTTGCGAAATACCTGCTGAGGTGCGTTAACGACACCGGTGTTGTACCCATGTTGGAAAGACGATCCGAGCGCAGCAGCCGCAATAGCAAACGCTAACCGTCCGTTTAGACCCTGTAACCAAAATACGGAATATGTTGTCATTGTAATATTACAATGGTATCTCGAGATGGTAGCTCGATGTTACTCGGCAGAAATCGCGCAACCTTCGTCCGCGCACACCCCCACCGACACACGCGTACACACACACACACACACGCGTACACACACACACACACGCACACACACACGCACACACACGCACACACACGCGCACACACACACACACACGCGCACACACACACACACACGCGCACACACACACACACACGCGCACACACACACACACACGCGCACACACACACACACACGCGCACACACACACACACACGCGCACACACACACACACACGCGCACACACACACACACACGCGCACACACACACACACACGCGCACACACACACACACACGCGCACACACACACACACACGCGCACACACACACACACACGCGCACACACACACACACACGCGCACACACACACACACACGCGCACACACACACACACACGCGCACACACACACACACACGCGCACACACACACACACACGCGCACACACACACACACACGCGCACACACACACACACACGCGCACACACACACACACACGCGCACACACACACACACACGCGCACACACACACACACACGCGCACACACACACACACACGCGCACACACACACACACACGCGCACACACACACACACACGCGCACACACACACACACACGCGCACACACACACACACACGCGCACACACACACACACACGCGCACACACACACACACACGCGCACACACACACACACACGCGCACACACACACACACACGCGCACACACACACACACACGCGCACACACACACACACACGCGCACACACACACACACACGCGCACACACACACACACACGCGCACACACACACACACACGCGCACACACACACACACACGCGCACACACACACACACACGCGCACACACACACACACACGCGCACACACACACACACACGCGCACACACACACACACACGCGCACACACACACACACACGCGCACACACACACACACACGCGCACACACACACACACACGCGCACACACACACACACACGCGCACACACACACACACACGCGCACACACACACACACACGCGCACACACACACACACACGCGCACACACACACACACACGCGCACACACACACACACACGCGCACACACACACACACACGCGCACACACACACACACACGCGCACACACACACACACACGCGCACACACACACACACACGCGCACACACACACACACACGCGCACACACACACACACACGCGCACACACACACACACACGCGCACACACACACACACACGCGCACACACACACACACACGCGCACACACACACACACACGCGCACACACACACACACACGCGCACACACACACACACACGCGCACACACACACACACACGCGCACACACACACACACACGCGCACACACACACACACACGCGCACACACACACACACACGCGCACACACACACACACACGCGCACACACACACACACACGCGCACACACACACACACACGCGCACACACACACACACACGCGCACACACACACACACACGCGCACACACACACACACACGCGCACACACACACACACACGCGCACACACACACACACACGCGCACACACACACACACACGCGCACACACACACACACACGCGCACACACACACACACACGCGCACACACACACACACACGCGCACACACACACACACACGCGCACACACACACACACACGCGCACACACACACACACACGCGCACACACACACACACACGCGCACACACACACACACACGCGCACACACACACACACACGCACACACACACACACACACCGTCCGGACACACCTTTTTCCAATCGTGTATTCGAACGACATATTTTGCCGGTGTTATCATTTGGCGTCGATCAATCGATTGGATGAAAGACGGAAGTTGGAAGATGATCGTGCTATCGAATTTACTTCAAATACCGATAAACGTAACAACGACCTCGCCCACTTTGTCGCGAAACACCTCCGAACCATCTCCTCGATCGAACTTACAACCGAACGTGAAACGACCGTGAAACGACCGTGAAACGACCGTGAAACCTTTCCAGTATTTTCCATCTTGAATATTCGTATCGCGATCTACGAATAGCAAATGGCAAATTAACATTGAATTTTGTAGTTTCTCTCGTCTTCGAAAGTCCGCGTTTCGCCCTCGTTGTTAGGTACCGCCGACGCTCGTCGTCGATCGTTACCGTGATAAGAGAAAATTTGTCGACTTCTCACCACTCTTTTGAAGACAGGTATTTCCAAATCGATGGTCTTCAAAGTCATCGAGATGTTTGAATCGTCTCGACGTTTGGGAGAAAATCGCGTCTAGCAACCGAGCGAACGAAGGAAGGATCGAATCGTTGAAACGGTAACTTTTCCGTGGAACACCGACGTTTTCGACGTCTTCGATGCCTTCGAGCACGTGTCAAAGACTATTCTGCGGGTCGGTACCCCCGCCACACATTTTTATACCGCTTCTACACGACGTATGCAGGAACGACCATCGCACGATGCCGCATACGGCATACAGCACACGACGTAACGGCGAACAACCACTTATGCAAAAGAAAGACTCGGCGAAACAGTGTTTCTCAAGCTACCGATTCCTCGATTCCTCGATTCCTCGGTTGCTCCGTTCGCGATGCTCAAAATCAGAAATTGCGGAAGAAGGAGCGCGAGATGCGAAATATCGTAGCCGGTGGACAAAAGTAATAGTATCGTACATTGTACAACCGTCATTATCGATAGTACATGACAAATGAGAACGTTAACATAACATTATCGCAACATTATTTGGAATGACTGTGGTCCGCGGTCGAACGATGCTAATAAAATTGTGTTTCTTCTTTTTCCGCAATTATACGTTGTACGTATACGTGTACGTGACGCGGAATAAGAGAACTACAAGTTACAATAGATTATACGGTATCGTCGGTTAGCTCGCAAAGTACCAATTGCTTTTAGATAAGGAAAGTCATCGAACAGTCGACGACAGGTTCATCATTTTTACCGTTTACTCGACTTCGCAGTCTTGTGTAACGACCTTGACATAACGCTACGTTCCAGCATCGCTTTTCAAACGATCTCCGTCTTGAAACTCGAAACACGAAACTCGATGCAATTTGGTTAACCGCATTGGCGCAAACGACGATATTCGTTATAAAGAATCGATTCCATCGAAAGGTACGCGATTCAATTTCTACACTTGCGTATTAATTTGCTCGTTGCTTATTGTATTCGAAGCTCGGTGCGAACGCGTAGGCATAGGCGTAGGCATAGTCGTAGGCATAGGTGAAGAAGAAGAAGAAGAAGAAGAAGGAACATCTCTCGAAGAACATCGGTCAGAAACGATAGCGAATACGCGTATGTTACGAAATGTATCGAAGGCGTCGAGGCGCCTGTCTCTCGTTTCCATGTGGAAGTATTGTCACTGCCACGACCAGACGAACAATATCTTACTTCGCGCGGCCATTTTTTCGATCTATCGCGTGATCGCGATCGTTTCGACGATCGTACCAGCGTAGAATAATTGGATAATAGATTCTGTAGTAAAGTCTCTCGATTTGCGCAAGAGCGAGTCAAGATCTCCCGTTCGATCGGGCAAATCGTCGTTGGCAACGCTCGTGACTTCTGTGCAGACACGATTCACGCGGGAGTACAAGAGTACAAGAGTACAAGAGTAGGAGAATATTAGCTTCGAGGCATCGTTTTATACATTTCGGAATAGAAAATTCTCGCGAGCGACTACAGAATCGGCTAGCGGTGAAAATACTACGGATACGCATAATTTTATGGCAGGAATAGAATTCCGTTTCACCGAGGGGGAGAGAAGCGAAGAGGAGACACGAAGAAGCTCGTCGCGTCTCGCAAAACGACACAGGCGAAATTTGCCGCTGGTCGCGTTTCTTGCCTTACTCCGGCCCGATTGGTCTAGACAGAGGTGTGTCGATCGCAAACTACAACGATTGGCCAGCGGTCGTCGCGCCTCTCTTAACGAGCCTCGTGGCAAGCCGAAGCCTCCTAATTATAGCAACACACGCGAACGCCAACATGTTATTCAACGTACCGCTTGAACGTACGATAAGCGGAGTCGATTCATTACCTTTAGACACAGGCCTTTCACTTCGCGTTCAGGTTGCCCAAACAATTTCGCGACGGTACCCCATCGAATTCTCTTATCCTGCCTCTTTCCCTACCAAGAACAAAATGTATAAAAATACAAATACGAACGTAGATTTCGATCAGTACGAATTCTCGACCGTTGGTGTTGCTATCGACATTAGCGGTATACGCGTACACGTTCGATATAACGCAACATAAGCCGATATAAATAATGCTTGCTTTAATACTAAAAATAGTTTCGACGATAGATAGCAAGAAGCAGAGAGACGCGCGGATACTCTTTTATGTACGAACAACGTCGTAAGGTTTTTCGACCTCGCGTATTCCCTCGAAACCATATCGTGCTAAGTTGCCCTAGGTTGCAGAAATACAAAAGATCGGCATTAATGTCTCGCGTTTCGTATCGAGCAACCGTAAAACTATTCTGTTTCATTCTATTACATATTGTACGTTGTACACGTGTATGTACGTGTGTCCGTGTAGATCCGATGGCAGAGAGACTTCGCTTACGATTCGAAAAGATCAAAAAACAAGATCGGAACTTGTAGCATGCATGTATATACGTATGCACGTGCGATCGCAATTATTATATCCGAGTTTCCCGCTAAAAAATAACGGGACAAGCGTATTTCTGTACTCGGTATCTCTTCGAATAAAAATAGCCTCCAACGGCTAAACGCATCCTGCTTTTTCGATCGAAACCAGTTCATCTTCGAACCGTATCTCAACGGACAGAATTCTGTTCCTACAGAAATGAAAAACTCTGCAACAACCGTGTC